CACACACACACACACACACACACACACACACACACACACACACACACACACACACACCTCATATGCCGTCAGTTAAATTTCAGTTCTCATCCTCTCTCCATGAACCAAGCTCCTTGACCTCATCCCTCAATCGCACCGGTACTAATCCTCCACCAGCCAACCTCCCCCCCACCACCCCACCCTTGTATCATCCCCTCATCCTTCAACTCCACTTCTCAACCCGTGCTCTTCAACTTCTTCCCCCGCCATCCCCTACAACGTCTCCCCTGGTAACTCCTCCAACCCACCCCTCCCTTCTTAACCCCACCCATCTGTAGGACACTAATATCTTCAGTTGGACTCTCTCCCACTCGACCACACCCCTTCCGGGAGCTAGAGTGGGAGGGGGAAGAGGAGAGGGAAGGGGAAGGAGAGGGGAAGGATGAGAGGGAAGTAGTTATAAAAGCTCTTAGCCCCCTGCCGTGTTGACAATAGCGGCGAGGAGTGACTAGGAACACAGTCGGCTCTCTCGAGTACTATTTTTATCTGTGTGAGGAGGAGAGCCGATCCTCTTCCACACACAGGTGAAGGAAGTAGTGCAAGGAGAAAGTAGGAAGGGAAGGAAGAGGCAATATGAGGAAGATGATTAGAGAACAGGAAAGGTTTGAATAACGGATGGTGTAGGAGGAAGGGAAGGAGGGAACTATCAGGAGAAAGCGCCAAGCTATTACGACTATATATCACTTGAAGGGATCAGGATAAGGATTTGGGATGGAACGAGGGGGAAGGAATGGTGCCCAACCACTTGGACGATCGGTTATTGAACGCGGACCTGCGTAAAGCGAGACCGTCGCTCTACCGTCCAGTCCAAGTGGATGGGCTGATGGTGAAGGAGGAGAGAGAGGAGAAGTTTTTGGAGAGAATAAAACGAACGATAAAACCGATATTTTGATGTATAAAAAATACAATTAGGGGGTAAGCATCGTGAGCGTTGATATCTGCCAACGTTATCAAAATTATTCTGCGAAATACAGCTTGTAGAGGAGTTGGGCGCTGAAAGTCAACAGAGAGAAATACAGCAACATGGACGCTTCCTCCCGTTAAGAAATTACTGTTTACAAATCAAAACAAGGTTGAAGCGACCTTCCCGACACTTAGAGTCTGGCGCAGGCTCGCCCTGGGACTGCGGTTCACAGAAATGAAGACGCTGAACTCAATTGGTTTCTAGATTACGACAATTTTTCATAATCTAGACATATCTCAACTGCTACAATTACTATATCTTGACTCTGTACTACCACAACTACTGTTACTGCTACTGAAGTGCTCCATTATCCCCTCCTGGAGGGGCCTACATGCCTACTGCGGTAGAGAATATTCAGAGGCAGGATGTGTTCCATACCTGTTTGTATTAATTAAATGATATAATTACACAGTCCTCCCTCGTTAAATATAGCTTAACTCATTAACCTAGCTTGAGGCTATTTAAAAATAGTCAAGACGAAACGAGTGACATAAATAATGTTCAATACGAATTCTAATTAGTGAATGCATCAATTTAGCAAGTAAGTATTAAGTTAAGTGAGTGATTTAGAGCTGTGTGAGCAAGCACACACTCTCCTTCAACTCAGAGGCCACATTAACTACTACAATCACTTCCACAGGACTTCCCATATTTCCATTACACGTACCAATTAATTTTTACTCTCAGGTATATAAATGAATCTATACAATGAGAGAGAATGTCTATCTGACTGTTTGTCCCAAGTTTGAGGCCAGATGCTTGGGGCTAGCATTACCCAACTTTGCAGGGTTAATGGTCTGGGGCACGGGAAGGACATAAGCAGGTCGGGGTATTCCGAAGTTTAATGCTTTAAGATATACTAGCACTAATGAGCACTCTCGTGTGATTTTAATCATGTGTTAATTAAATGGTGTGATTCCCATGGAGTTTTTGAGATCATAATAATATATCTTCTGAGGTACCCGTCCCGTCGTTTCACTGATTCTTAATACATTTTCTAAGAGAAGGGGGAAGTAAGGTGGGAAGGGGGGGGGCGAGATATGGGAAAGGAAAAGGCAGAAGACAAAGGGAGGGACGAAAGGGGAATGGGGACGAGGATGGTTAAGGGGGGGATGGGGTGAAGAGTGGGAAAAAGGGTGGAAGGAGGCCCGGGTTCAACTAGGTATCCATTTTACACATATAAATGGAAATATCTGCCTGTTCCAGAATGGAGAGGAAGAGGTGGATAGGTAGGAAGATAGGGGGAAGGGGAGGGGAAAAAAAGAGGAGGTGTGGAATGAAGGATGGGGGAGACACTACCACGACACCACCAGTCACCCCTCCTAATGTATGAATTTATATTAGAGGCCATATTGACTACTACAGTCACTTCCGCAGAAATCAATGGAATAATCACCCACTATTGTGAAAACACAAGGATACGTAGACTATATATTTTGGTCCCAAACCGGGACCCTCTTCAGCAGTGAGCGAGAATGACACCTGTAGCCGCTTTTATGACGTCAAATCAGGTGTCAGGGGGACAGGTGTAAGCACTGGGTAATAATCTCAGTGTTACATAATCCCTCACCAAACCTGGTAACCACTGTCCCGACGGGATATTAAAATTTAGATTATTTATAGAAGCAGATTCAATTATTTTTCTTTTGAAGTCACAGTGTCGGGGGTAAATTATACAAGAATTAGCCCAGATAATTTTGTGCTCGGTCTCACATGTTTAAAAGTTGTTGAATATTTTTGGTCACATCTAACTGACCTCTTGTGTTCGGTAATACGTGCTTGTAGATCCCTGTCTGTTTGGCCATAATGAACATTACTACAATCATTGCAAGGAATCTCATAGACTTCGGGCACTGATAGCTATGTTGATATATTAGAAAGCACTGATACATTAGAAAGAAACTCCGTAATATTAAAAATGTACCAATTGATAAGTAGGTAATTCCCCCTCACGATACCTTCAGCTGTGAACGTAAAGGAATCTCTTGCCACACAGTTTTGTGCCTCAGGCCATTTGCGTTCTCTGCTACTGGAGACGCTATCAAGGCATCAGCCGCCACACTCACACAGTGTTTTTACTGTACTAACTTCCAAGTGTTGTCGACTCTATTTTTACATCTTGGAATATATTTACATCGTCAAAATTAGCCCTTAGTTGCGCAACTCCGAGTTCTCGACTCAATTATTCACTAAGTTTCGTCTCAGCCCGTCCTCGTCCAGCCCGTCCTCGTCAACAAAGAACAAATTCTTGTTAATCCAGCCGCCAAACCCCGTGTTTATGAATGAACAACCCTTCCTGAGGACAGGCTCGTTACAGCAGCGGCTGTCCATCACGACGCATTCATCAATTTTAAAGTATTGTATATTAAAAATATGTTTGTTCTCATATATATAAAGTAATGTTATTTTTAATTTAAGTTCTATATATTGTTAGGTGTTCAGTTTCTGTTGGCAGTTATTTCTATTTTAAATACGTAGGTTGATTTTTAGTACATTTACAGAGTTGCGATTCGAGCAGAGGTCATCAGCGAAGCACGGTTCGAAGAAAGGTTCGAAGAAGTTGAATCGAGTGTAAGCCGTTTTTCATTCAAGAACAGAGGGTTTAGCAGCTGGATTAAGGAGCATTTGGCATGTCTTGATGAGGACGGGCTTTTACAGCTGCCAGACTATGTGTACATGATTGAAAGACACTTTGCACACGACTCGCAATTCAAGACGCTCGAGCATTTCTCGAACAGTGCCTTGCTGGTGACCTCTGTTCGAATAGCATCTCTGTAAACAACCCGTCCTCACACTAGGTTATTTAAAGCAGCGGCCGTCCTCCCCAAACGCAATCAGCAATTTAACACACTCTGTGTATTAAAAATTGATTTGTTCTCATATATAAATTATTATATATAAAAAAAATTGTATGTATAGTTAGGTGTAGGACGTGCTGTTTACAGCAGCCCGTCCTCACATACACCAAGCTCGTTAATCCACAAAGCCTGTTTATGAATGAATAACGGTTTACACACGTACCATATACTGTATATCTTGGAACGTAGAATACGGTATTCTTTAAAATATTGTATGATGTATGATTACAAAACATCAGTATGTTTTGAAGTATAGAAGTATTCAGAAGTAACATATATTTTGATATTTCTGAGTGCGTTATGATGTAGGTTGTATGTTGTATGAGATATAATATGCTATATGAACAAGCATAATTTATGCTTAATTTGGAAACTGCTTATGTTGGCCTATATTACAGGCTTTCATATGGTGGCGTATGTTGCTTCATGTACGTCTCTGTATGATGTATGCTTCCATATGGTAATGTATACAGCCTGGTGTATGTCAATATCCAATGTATCCTCCTATATGCTGAGTATGCTGCCTAGTGTATGTTTCTTAATGTGTCATTCTTCACGAAGTTGAGTGAATGCCGTAAACTATTTCTTAAAATCAATATTGCAATACATAGCATGTATCCTGGCAATTGAACATGGCAGAAGAGAGAGAGAGAGAGAGAGAGAGAGAGAGAGAGAGAGAGAGAGAGAGAGAGAGAGAGAGAGAGAGAGAGAGAGAGAGACAGAGAGAGAGAGAGAGAGAGAGAGAGAGAGAGAGAGAGAGAGACAGAGAGAGAGAGAGAGAGAGAGAGAGAGAGAGAGAGAGAGAGAGAGAGAGAGAGAGAGAGAGAGACAGAGAGAGAGACAGAGAGAGAGAGAGAGAGAGAGAGAGAGAGAGAGAGACAGAGAGAGAGAGAGAGAGAGAGAGAGAGAGAGAGAGAGAGAGAGAGAGAGAGAGAGAGAGAGAGAGAGAGAGAGAGAGAGAGACAGAGAGAGAGAGAGAGACAGAGAGAGAGAGAGAGAGAGAGACAGAGAGAGAGAGAGAGAGAGAGAGAGAGAGAGAGAGAGAGAGAGAGAGAGAGAGAGAGAGAGAGAGAGAGAGAGAGAGAGAGGAAAGGAGAACTAGAAGAGATGGAACGAGGGGGTGACACAAACATCCGATATATTATTCATTTTATTTATTTCGATATTTTTGTATTTATCAATAAATAAGAATATATAAAATATACGGGGAAAAATACTGTCGCCCGATGCTGGGATTAACTTGACGTACGAAATCAAAACAAGGTTACTTCTCTCTAAGCACACACACACACACACACAACACACACACACACACACACACACACACACAACACTCACACACACACACACACACACACACACACACACACACACACACACACACACACACACACACACACACACACACACACAAGCTCTTGCGTCGAGATCAGAATTCTTCAGCTACCCCTGTTGACCAAAATTAAGAGCAGGCGGGTATACGTCACATAAATTTCGCCAAAACGTTTTTAAAACACTGGGACAGCGTTAAATACGTTGTGGTTAGGTTGTGTGCGTTTGGTCGTCGGGTTAGGTGTATGGGTGTAGCCAGGTGTAGGTGGCCAGGTGTAGCTGCTGAGATCAGGTCCTGTTCAGGGTGGCTTGTTTGGTGTGGTTGGATACCTCTGTGTGTGTTTGTGTTGTGTGTTTGTGATGTGTGTTTGTGTTGTGTGTTTGTGTTGTGTGTTTGCGTTGTGTGTTTGTGTGTGTGTGTGTGTGTGTGTGTGTGTGTGTGTGTGTGTGTGTGTGTGTGTGTGTGTGTGTGTGTGAGTGAGATTGAGAATGAGGTAGGAACACACAGTGTTGGGTAAAGGAAAAACTGTACCAGGTTCACAACTGATGGAAGAGTCAATGGAGATCACATTGTATAAACAAATTTGGTGGGTGTATATGGTGAGTATGCATGATGAGTATATGACTTGATGAGTATTTATTCACAGGGAAAAGTGGTCTGGGCATTGATGGGAAATTGGGGCATGGATGTTTATGATTGCTGAATGGATGTGACTGAACGCATATGTAGGTGGAAGATGTGTGCTTTTGTATGTTGATGAGTTCCCTTACGTATGTGTGGATGTTGATGCGTTCCTGAGTACATGAGTGGGTCTGGCTGAGGGACTCACAGTGTGAGTGTATGAGTACCATGGTAGTACTCTAGTGTCTAGGAATGTCTCACATTCTTGCTGCAGGTCGCTAACGAAGCTTTTTTCTCTATCTTGGAAGACTAGTCTAGCAGCCGTAACAAGCTTGAAAAATAATGTACACAAAGTACTTTCAAGATACTTAAGTACCTAGCAAAATACACGCTATGTTATAATCTATTTCCTTTGATACAAAGGACACGCATGCATTACCTGGAAAAATATGGGGTATATCTCTGAGCGTCTATTTCATATCAAAATTAACATTGCGTTTGATATGTGGGAGTTTGACATGAGTTTGACATGAGTTGACAGGCTTGTTGGCCTAGGCGCATCTCATGCACAAGGTGAGCACTCCACTAATACAGGTTTTCCAGGTATGCGGTTTATCACAGTTGAGATGGCGTTATTGTGGTGGCTTGGGGCACAACACACGCCGTCTTTGGCACGGTAACGTCAGCCGCAGGCACCCATCACGGCCTCAGTGCGCACACACACACACACACATACACACACTCACACACTCACACACACACACACACATGGATCTGACGCTAGAGTCAAACTTTACCAAGACGAGTCTCTGGTATCTTTTTCATAAAAAGACGTATTTTTTTATAACAAGACACACACACACACATATACACTATGCATGTCACACGATCGGGTGTTTGCCAAGATCCTGAGTCAGTCAGATGTGAGTCCGCAGGCTAGGGCCCCGTGGTTGTAAATGACCAGCCTGGATCACTGACGTGCTTTGACTCACGGCTACATTGCTCTAGTGTGGGCCTGTACACTGGCTAGCACAAGAATAAGTAGGCACACCATATTGAACAAGTGTCTGTTCTGCAGCCCGGGGCCAGGTTCCAGGTTAGAGAACTACAGATCAGCATCCGTTGTCAACGGCACAGGTCACAGTGCCACAGAGTAGCAGCTTGGGGTCAATAGTTCAGGTCAAGACAGCCACAGATCAGTAGCCACGAAACATAATGTCACAGAGAGGATGGTCATCCCCGCTCTGGGTTACATCCCTCGTTGGATAGGGGACGCTGATGTCAGCAGCCATTCGCAGATACGTTTGGTTGTCTCCTTTTTGTCGACGGTCGTCTGGATGCCGTAAGATCTCAGGAGCTCGACCAGTTTCTTCTTCTCCGCGCACTCGTACAGAGGCTTGGTGCTGGTGACAAAGATTTCAGATGAGCTCTCGTCGAAAGCTATATCCAGCGGGTCCATGCCCTTCACGAGCCAGGCGTCAGAGAGGTACTTGTAAGCCTCTCTCACACCCGCACGCTTCTCAGGTTTGGGCTCCAGCAGGCGTCTCAGGAGGCGAAGAAGACGAGGAGTGAAGCATTTGAAACGACGCGGTATCTTAGTGGTCTTGCGCTTGAGCCAGGCCACCCACGAGTTGTAGTGGCGGTCGGTGATGTCGGCCGAGTACCAGGGATATGACCCCGTCAGGCAGACGAAGATGAGGATGCCAAGCTGCCAGGCGTCCAGGGAGGTTTCCACATGGTAACCTTCATTGTAGACCGCTTGACACACTTCGGGCGGGGCCCAGGGGACTCGCACATTGACTTTTTTCACCAAGACTCCTGCACGCTGTGTGTTTCCAAAGTCACCCAGCTTCACTCGAGACAGCTCCCGGTCGAAGACAAAGATATTTTCTAGCCGAATGTCACGATGAACTAGATCCTTACTGTGAACAAACTCCAGGGCGAAGGCAATCTGTTCAGCCACGCGCTTCGCTCGCGTCTCCCCGATTCCACCTTTCCTCACAAACTGCGCCAAGTCGCCATTAGGCGCCAACTCCTGGGCGAACACGAATGAACTGTTGGTATCAAACGCCACGTCAAAACTATTAACAATATTGGGGTGCGGACTGAGGTAATAGTTGTAGTGGAACTCGCGAAAGAAATCCTTCTTCTTCGTTGTCTCCTTCTGGACGCACTTGAGGACGACCTGGTTGTCGGTTTCGTGGTGTTTGGCGGAGTAGACCTTGGCGTACCAGCCCTCCGCCAGGAGACGCACGTCCGAGAACTGTCGGTCCATTTCCAGTCTCGGAAGCTCGAAGGTCTTGACGCGGTGGAAGCTGGCGCTCTTGCTGCCCCCACTCATCTCTGGGAAGGAGAAAGAATATCTGTTAGCATCAATCATTAGAATAATAACCGCTGGTCTCTCTCTCTCTCTCTCTCTCTCTCTCTCTCTCTCTCTCTCTCTCTCTCTCTCTCTCTCTCTCTCTCTCTCTCTCTCTCTCTCTCTCTCTCTCTCTCTATATATATATATATATATATATATATATATATATATATATATATATATATATTACAGAGTATATCAAGCAATGTCAGTGTTTGTAGAATGTGTACCAGGTGGTGTCACTGCTTGTGGGAAGTGTATCAAGCAGTGTCAGTGCTTGAGGAAAGTGTATCAAGCAATGTCAGTGTTTGTAGAATGTGTACCAGGTGGTGTCACTGCTTGTGGGAAGTGTATTAACCAGTGTCAGTGCTTGTAGAGAGTGTACCAAGGAGTGTCAGTGCTTGTAGAAAGTGCATCAAGCCGTGTCAGTGCTAGTAGAAAGTGTATCAAGCAGTGTCAGTGCTTGAGGAAAGTGTATCAAGCAGTGTCAGTGCTTGAGGAAAGTGTATCAAGCAGTGTCAGTGCTTGAGGAAAGTGTATCAAGCAGTGTCAGTGCTTGAGGAAAGTGTATCAAGCAGTGTCAGTGCTTGAGGAAAGTGTATCAAGCAGTGTCAGTGCTTGAGGAAAGTGTATCTAGCAGTGTCAGTGCTTGAGGAAAGTGTATCAAGCCGTGTCAGTGCTTGAGGAAAGTGTATAAAACAGTGTCAGTGCTTGAGGAAAGTGTATCTAGCAGTGTCAGTGCTTGAGGAAAGTGTATAAAACAGTGTCAGTGCTTGAGGAAAGTGTATAAAACAGTGTCAGTGCTTGTGGAGAGTGTACCAAGCGGTAAACTTCAGAGACAAAAAGCATCGTTCGTCCCTATGTCCTGGATATCACAAAGCATGACGTCACCAGGCAGTCGTTCGAGGATACCAACCTGATATAGAAGGTGTTGGGGAATCCGTCTTGATGAAGTAATCCAGGGCTGTTGTGGAGGGGGACCCGAAGGTGTATATACAAGGTATAATCCACGCGCTGGAAGGTGGTCTGGTGCGTGTCCTGGTCGAGGGAGGGCGTCACTCTGAGGTGCGGTCGGCGAGGCTCCCGTCTTTTCATCCCTGGCGGCCGTGACGTCATTGATGGCGTCACGGATGGCGAGCGCGTGCGTCGTTGTCATGACGACTGAGCCAGGCGCGACGTCCGACACTGGATAAATGAGTACGCGACGAGAGGGAGAAAAAGACATTTCTGTCTAACAAAGAGAACAAATTTATTGAAGGTAACATTGACAGAGAGATATCGTATGAAGCATATAAAGTGATTAACGCCATGAGAGAATTTGAAAGGCGAAAAAGACGGCGAGTCAAAATTGATATTAGTCCCTTCTGCCCGTCTTCGGAGGCGACCGGTGTCCATCCCACATCGTCTGAACTTAAAGATGTTTGGCTGGTCGGCAAGCTGCCGTTTGCACGCTGAGCGAAAACTAATGTTCCTGCCTTTCCAATTGCTGGGGCTCCGTACTCCCTCCCGCACACCGAGCGAAAGCTAACGCTCCCGCCCGACTAATAACCAGGTCTCTAACAGGCACCAATTGTGGTCGAAATAACTATCATTTTAATAATAATAATAATAATAATAATAATAATAATAATAATAATTACATAAAATCAACGACAATCATAACAATGGAAAATATTAATGATAACGTAATTAATAATACAAATAATTGAAATTCCCGTTACCATGATAATTACTGTTACTTAAATCTTTAATAATTATTATATCACCAGGCAAATCACCAGGTTCTGAAGGCTTTATGGTGAGGGGAAGGCAGCATCCCTCAGTACGTCTGAGAGGAAATTACAATTTTTGTTCCTGTAATTGTGGAAGTGACAGCTTGAGACACCGTGGGAGGAGGGGAGAGAGACCGTGGGAGTGAGGGAAGGGGAGGAAGAGGGGGAGGAAGAGGGGGAGGAAGAGGGGGAGGAAGAGGGGGAGGAAGAGGGGGAGGGGGGTCGAAGACAACGGAAGGAGACGTGGGAGATGGGGGGAGATGTGCTTACCTATTAGTGAGTATGGAGGAGTGAGATCTTTAGGCCCCGCCTCATAGCCGTCTATACTTGGCACGCTAATGACTTCTCTCAACATTAACATTGTCTTCACATTTAACATTAACCGTTGTCCCTTTATCATGCTTTTTCATTTAAATAGGCTTCCTGTGTCCACACTGTCTATTCCCCTGGAAGTCTTATATGTAGTGATCATATCTCCTCTGTTTCTTCTCTATCTCTCAGGTTGTGAGGGAGAGTTCTCTCAACCTGTCCTCATAGCTCAGGCCTCTCAATTCTGGTACTAATCTAGTTGCCAACCTCTGAACTTTCTCAAGTTATTGTTTATGCTTCACAAGCCGTGGGTTCTATGCTGGTGCTGCTTACTCAAGTAATGGTCTCACACAAACAGAGTGTGTGTATGGATGTGACATGGCTCCTTGTTTAGAGTCTTAAGTGACGTTCCTTTGTTGGCTAACTTCCCACATGCTGCTGATGTTATCCTGTTCACATGAACTTCTGGTGTTAGCGTTGGGTCGTTAGTGTTGGGTGGTGTTAGTGTCGTTAGTGCTACATCAATGTCTTTTTCCTCTTATTGTTTCTTGTAATTGCCTACCCCTTAAGGTATAGTTAACTACAAGTCTTCTATCTCCCTTACACATTTTCATTACTTGGCACTTATTTGGACTGAACTCCAGCAGCCATTTGTCTGTCCCTTCTGACTATGACCCTTTATTCCTTCCGTCAAGTACTTTCGTATCCAGTCCAGTGCTTATCCTGTTATCCCCGCGTGTCTCTCCATCCTGTGTAGTAGTCTTTTGCGAAGAACTGTATCGATAGCTTTTTTTGGGGCAGTCTTAGAAGATGTAGTCTACCCATCCTGTCTTCCTTCTTTCGTTTGTTTTAATGTGGTGACATAGAATTCAATCGTTTGTTAAGGAGGAGAGGAGATGTGGGAGATGGGTGGAGGCGTAGGAGAGGGGAGGAGACCGGGGAGAGGGGAGGAGACGTGGAAGAGGGGAGGAGACTTGGGAGAGGGGGAGAAGACGTGGGAGAGGGAAAGAGACGTGGGAAAAGGCAGGAAACTGAGAGGTTACTTGTCCTTCCTAGCTAAGAACTGAGATAAACTTGTCTCCGGCCTCACTGTACTTCTTCTGACACCATCAACACCTTCCCCAACCCCTGACACCCCGCCACCCCCCCCACCTCCCTCTCCACCATCATATATTGCCCCAACAAAGACACCAGACATAGGGAAGCCCATCGCATCATCCCATTGGTTACTTCCCCAACCACTGAGGGAGGCGGGGAGTGGGGGGTTGTTATGAAAAGAGTGTTTTTCACTGTAAAGTGTGATAAAGAGGGGAAAGTGGAGGGTTGGTTGGGGGGGGGGGGTTAAAGGACTTTGAGGTTGCCCACTGAGTTGTGTTTGCTAGGGTTGAGCTCCGTCTCTTGGGCCACGAATTTTATTCTCTTAACCATAAAAGTTGTTTTGTTATTCATAGTGATTTGTCATAATTATTTTTTTTTCATGTTACTTAATTCGCTGTATAACTGTGAGAAGAAGAGGGAGGGGCAGTATAATGCTACGCTCGCCAGTTATGTCATCACACTAATAACTTCCACCTCTAGTTGTGTGTGTGTGTGTGTGTGTGTGTGTGTGTGTGTGTGTGTGTGTGTGTGTGTGTGTGTGTGTGTGTGTGTGTCTGCTCTTGTACTCATCTAGTTGTACTCACATAGTTGTGCTTGCAGGGGTTGAGCTCTGCTCTTTCGGCCCGCCTCTCAACTGTCAATCAACCGTTTCTAACTACTACTATTTTTTTTTCCACACACACACCAGGAAGCAGCCCGTGACAGCTGACAAACTCCCAGGTACCTATTTACTGCTAGGTAACAGGGGCATAGGGTGAAAGAAACTCTGCCCATTGTTTCTCTCCGGCGCCCAGGATCGAACCCGGGACCACAGGATTACGTGTCCAGCGTGCTGCCCGCTCGGCCGGCCGGCCCCTGACCCATTGCCAGCCGGCAGCCGGCCATCTGCCGGCTGCCATCTGCCCCATTCATATGTGTGTGAATGCTATTGTATGCCTGGATATGTGTATGAATATTCTTGTGTATATGCGTGTTATGCGTGTATGTGTGAATGTCTGCTTTTGTGTGAATGTCTGCACTTGTGTGTGTATGTTTGTGTGTGTGTGTGTGTGTGTGTGTGTGTGTGTGTGTGTGTGTGTGTGTGTGGTGTGTGTGTGTGTGTGTGTGTGTGTGTGCGTGTTCTCGTGTGTATATATCTATATTCACCGATTATGATTATTAACTAAAGGTCACTTTCCCTGAAACCTTAAATAATTTTTAGGCCCCGGTTTCAATTTTTGTACTGAGTCACGGGATTTTTTTTTTAATTGTTTTTGACCTTCATTCAAGAGATATTAAGCCTGGGAATCCCTCGCCTCTCTGGCTCAGGTTTTTAGGGGAAGATTTAGCTTATTTCACGCTTGAATGGCTCGTTAGATTTCCACTTCAGGAGATCAGGTGAGCAGCGTGACCTTTGGCTGTCTTTTGGCCAACTTTTCAACGAATTAAAATGCCAGATTTTCAGTTTTTCAATCAATTAGCGTTATGTCGGTGGCCTGTATGCGAGAGTCAACCTGCTCTCTCTCTCTCTCTCTCTCTCTCTCTCTCTCTCTCTCTCTCTCTCTCTCTCTCTCTCTCTCTCTCTTTCTCTCTACTAGAAGGTTGCGTTACATATGTATCGTATTAAGTAATGCAATCGAGAATATTCGTATTTCTCTATATATATATCGGACCCGAGAGGTTAGGTGGGTTGCTTGGGTTCTGTTATGACCAAACGTAAAGCTCGCAGTGTTAAATTTCTCCTCTCGCTCGCTAAAACACGTGGCCGTGAGGGAAATATGTCAAGGGTGAGGGGAAACTAGATTGAACAGACTATACCAGACTTTACTGGGTGAATTTATAACAAAATGCAATAACGTGTAATGTAATTAATAAGTACATGATATTCAAGGTACATAGACTCAGTAAAACATTAGTGCACTAGAACACTTTCGGATACAAGTAAGACTACTTCAAAGTTATCTCTGAAATGTATCTAAGTCAGTATAGGTATAAAGTTGAAATCACTTTAGATGTGACCAAAAACTGTAAAGTTTCTAAGAACTTGGTTCAGAGTTAAAGTCACTAGGACTATCGAAACATAAGTCACTATGGACTTCCAATACAAAAATATGATCCAATGGTACTCCCCACAGTAATCACCATTTTTACCTTATTGACAAATAATAACACAACGCATTAGAGGGAATGTTTAGGTCCCCTCCAATACAGTTTCTGTGTGCTTTTCTCTTACCACCCCCTTCCTTTGATTTTTTTATATATGAATTTTTATGTATAATGTATATGTTTGTGTATGATGTTATGAATTTTTTTATATATAGGAATATATATATATTATATATATATATATATATATATATATATATATATATATATATATATATATATATATATATATATATATATATATTATATAAGGCAGCAGGATTTCACTTAGCCATGTTTCATTGAATATGACTGCATATTCTGTCTTGATCGACAGAATACTGGAGACTGGAATCGACTGGAAACTGGCCAAGAACTGTAAGATTTCCGGAGATCTTTTCAGACGCTCAGTGGTCTGGTGCTGGATTGATCAACAAAACGGATGATCTACACGTTCTCGTATCGTTCATAAAATTTAATCCTATAAATACGATAGCCATATATTTGTATAGCGCGCTATCATCTCAAAGCTGGAAATATTCTTATCGTAGTCGATTCAGTAATACACACTATATACATATATATTTATTTTATTTATCACATATATTATTTAACTAGTAAAAAACTATACAAAATATAATATATTGACTGTTGTTCAAAATGCATAATAATCTCCTTCATAGTTTATTATAACTTAAATTCTATAACGAATTTGAGTCATTGTTAAGGCTGCGAACCTTGGGTAATATTTGTTGGCATTTCTTCTCTATGGCGTTAGACTATAATACTGTGTGAAAATGAACTTTGGAGAGTTCATTTTTCAACTTCCCTACTCAATGAAAAAAACATAAGAAATATTGAGAAGATGCGTGTTAGAATCGTTAATCTTACCCTTTCGGTTATATTCAACAATATATATATATATATATATATATATATATATATATATATATATATATATATATATATATATATATATATATATATATATATATATATATATTGAATACCGCTATCATATACATTTCAAGAGGTAAAGTGACCTCTATTATACACATTATTATACATTAAACATCGATTATACATTTTTGAAAATTAAGTTAGTTACAGACACAGACTCGTACAAGATATAAAAATTGTGATATAAATTCTAGTGCTACTCTCACTATGTTTTTTTTTTTTTTTTTTTACAGAATTCCTGATATTGTAAAGAATTCTAGCATTAAGAAAACATGTATAATGATAGCAATGTTCCCTGGTAAATTTGGCGTTCCTTAAACTTTGAGACGAAACATGAAAATTTGTGACCAAGGAAGCAGGTCACGAGTATGGACACAGAAGGTGGACAGGCCGAAGTAGCTATGCCAAGTCTCAAGAGTAACTTCTATGAGCGAGAGTTTAGCATTAACATCTATGGTAGCAGGTGTGCCATGGCCATCATCCCGAGGCAGGCGGCAGCACTATCCACGCTGCCCTGGTCCCAACCAGCTCCCAGGTCAAGCAGATGGTGGAGTTTAAGTCACACAGAGGTTGCTTGAAAGGGGCATGATATCAGCTGCTTTAGTTATGGCTTGTGGTGAGTTATTGGCCTGACTCACTTGGCGTGAGTCAGGCGGTTCACGCCGGCGGGAGCCACACGTCGACGGGCTTGGATTCACGTTTCAATTCGAGTATTTGAACGGACATCTCTCCTCACTCCTCGGCAACATCTTGTCACACTGTGGAAACTTCTTCTCCTACCGTAGCAGCATCTCTTCGCACCCAGGCAACATCTCCCAATGCTGGGGGACGCATCTCTTAACACCGGAGCAACATCTCTTGGCACTACGCCTCCTTTGACGTCAGAAGAGGGGCAAGCAGTTTTCTGTTGCAGCAGCGAGCGATAGTGTGTTATATAAGAACGGATGATCTCAACCAGTTTGTTCTCTGAGCGTGTAAACAGTGACTTCTTACAGGATATTGAGACTTCTGCTGATGCGTTGTTCACGGATGTATCAACCGATCTGCTTTTTTCCAAAAGCCAGGGATCAGAGAGGTACTTGTACACCTCCTTCACGCCCGCACGTTTCTCAGGTTTGGGCTCCAGCAGGCGTCGCAGGAGGCGAAGAAGACGAGGAGTGAAGCAGGTGAAGCGTAGCGGCACCTTGGTGGTCTTACGCTTGAGCCAGGCCACCCACGAGTTGTAGTGACGGTCAGTGATGTCGGCCGATGACCACGGATGTGACCCCGTCAGGCACAGGAAGATGAGGATGCCAAGCTGCCAGGCGTCCTGGCCGCTGTGGACGTGGTAACCCTCGTTGTACACGGCCACACTAACTTCTGGTGGCGCCCAAGGGGACCGAACCTTCAGCTTTTTCACCAGGGCTCCCGCCTCCTGTGTGCTGCCGAAGTCTCCAAGCTTGACGCGGGAGAGCTCTCGGTCGAACACCAAGATGTTTTCTAAACAAACATCGCGATGAACCAGGTTCTCCTTATGCATAAACTCTAAGGCATTGGTAACTTGTTCAATCACTCGTTTTGCTACTTGTTGTTTTAGACCCGCCTTCTTCACGAAGTTCGAGAGGTCGCCCATTGGAGCGAGTTCTTGTGTCAAAACGTACGAGTTGAAGGTTTCAGAAGCAGCGAAACACGAAACGATATTGAGGTGACGATCGAGGTTTAAGTTATAGTTGAACTCCCTGAGGAAGTCTTTCTTCTTGGTGGTGTCCTTATGAAGACACTTGAGAGCGACGCAGGAAGCCCCAGGCTGGAGTGGTCTGGCGCTGAAGACCTGGACGCCGCTGCTCTCCGCCAGGAGTCTCACGTCAGAGTACTGCCGCTCCACCTCCACCCTCGGCAGCTCCCCAGTCTTCATGCTCTGGAAACTCCCGCTCCCGTTACCAGACATATCTGAAAGAATAAAATAAATGTTAAAATTTTATATGAATAAAATCGGATTGTACGAACACACATTTGCAAAAATGTTTTACGGAAGATCTTTTAACAAGTAATTAAGAGGTAAACATTTAGTATATGATGTTGTGATCTAGCTCACTATGCCATGCGTAAACAATACAAGGGCAACTCACTCACTATGTTGAATGGTGTGTGACCGTCTTGTTGTTATTGTCCGAAGTAATCACACGTGATATAGGAAGACGCACAGTGTAATCCACACGGTGAAGGCCTACACTCCCGGTGGGGCTTCTCTAAGGTAGGTGCTTCACAAGCAGGAGGCTGGGCCTTGTCTTGAGGGCTGCTGAACACCAACTGTGCTCTCAGGGAGAAGCTGCCGTGTTTTATCTCAGTCACCCGTAACGTCACAGATGAAGGGGGTAGGGGAGGTGGGGTTGGGGAGGGGGTCTGTCAGTTTACTCCGTAGTCGGCCAGTAATGGGTTCCATCAAGCCCGCGGATATTGTCGAGGTAATGGGGAACCCCTGTCGCTTCCTGGGTGTGCCAGGGGCGTCAACCTGCTCTGCTTCAGCCACTCTCCATATTTACACTGAAAATTAAACGCTTAAAATTACGTTTTCCCTCCTGATTTAAATTTGTTTATGTTGAAAATAATTTAGCCGTGTATTTTCTACTTCCTCTTCCGTATGTTGTTCCTTGTGTAGAGAACGGAGTGAAATGAAAGCTCACGAAAGAGAAAGAGTAAGTGGCACTTGTCGCAGCCGTGTAGAGAGTGCCAACTAGGGTGCCAGACTGCATGGAGTTCCCCGTACTTTGACGTAATTGCCATTTACCTTTTGCATTTTTTCTTCGCCTGATTAACTCTTCATCTTGGTCTTGGCACCACAGCCGGAGACGCAGTGGAAAGCTTCACAGATTGTAAGTTTAGTGTTAGTTTTGGTGGAGACAAAGGAGGATGGAGAGAAAGGATCGTATATAGGATATGAGAAATGATCCTACATGGTTCAATGCTTTTTATTATTAAGAAGCTTAAGCACACCGTACTGTGGCGCGATCCTAGGCTATTCGAGTGGTTTACAGGGTGTAGGCTAATAACTAACTTGGTTTACCTAATATCCTTATCTCGCAGCATAGCAGGAAATACATGGGATGGAAGTCAAGTCTACTAGCCCCGTACTAGCAAAATTTGGGTAGATTGGGAAAATGTTTTATAAATATTTTCGAATGAATGACGGACTTACAAATCTTCGATTCTCTCACGACATTTGGTATACAATCATAAGTAATATGGGCAGTCAGCGATTGTTGGAGAGTGTGTGTGTCTTAGCTGTCGTTCACAGAGTTTATATCTGGAGCGCACGGTGTTGGGAGGAGAGGGAAGCACCCTGACTCTTCCTTGTCCTTGGTGCTGGTTCTTGGTAAAGCCCTGGCACCTGCCCAGGGTACTTGTCCGCTCCCAACAACAACACACACGCGCGCACACACGCACACACGCACACACACACACACACACACGCACACACACACACACACACACACACACACACACACACACACACACACACACACACACACAACCTGGTAGCCTGGTGGATAGCGCGCAGGACTCGTAATTCTGTGGCGCGGGTTCGATTCCTGCACCAGGCAGAAACAAATAGGCAAAGTTTCTTTCACCCTGAATGCCCCTGTTACCTAGCAGTAAATAGGTACCTGGGAGTTAGTCAGCTGTCACGGGCTGCTTCCTAGGGTGTGTGTGGTGTGGTGTGGAAAAAAAGTAGTTAGTAAACAGTTGATTGACAGTTGAGAGGCGGGCCGAAAGAGCAAAGCTCAACTCCCGCAAACACAACTAGGTGAATACACACACACACACACAAACACACACACTTCTCCATCATGCAAGGTGAGGGAGAAGATCGTGAGGAAAAGACTCGTAGAACATTTGGAGGGAAAAGGCTTTGTAACACCACCAACATGGGTTGAGGGATGGTAAATCATGCTTTACAGGCGGCTTAATAGAATTCTATGACCAGGCGACAAAAAATAGTACAAAGTGACAAAGTAAGAGAGACTACAAGACGACCTGGACAAGCTGAAAGGATGGTCTAGAAAATGGCTACTAAAGTTTAACTCAGGAAAGTGTAAAGTAATGAAATTAGGCGAAGGGAGCAGGAGGCTGAACACAAGGTACCACCTTGGAGGTGAAATCCTGCAAGAGTCAAATAGAGAGAAGGATCTGGGGGTTGATATCACACCGAACCTGTCCCCAAAAGACCACATCAAAAGGATATCATCAGCGGCATATGCTAGATTGGCCAACATAATAACTGCTTTTAGAAACTAGTGTAAGGAATCGTTCAGGACCTTGTATACCACTTATGTCAGACCAATCCTAGAGTATGCAGCTCCAGCCTGCAGTCCATATCTAGTTAAACACACGAAAAAGTTAGAGAAGATTCAGAGATATGCAACCAGACTAGTTCCAGAACTGAGAGGTATGAGCTACGAAGAAAGGCTAAGGGAGCTGAACCCTCACATCCTTGGAAAACAGAAGAGTAAGGGGAGTCATGATAACCGCCTTCAAAATTCTCGGGAGAATTGACAGGGTGGATAAAGACAAACTCTTTAGCACGGGGTGGAACACGAACAAGGGGGCACAGGTGGAAACTTAGTACCCAAATGAGCCACAGACACTTTAGAAAGATTTTTTCAGTGTCAGTGTAATTAGTAAATGGAATGCCCTAGGAAGTGATGTGCTGGAGGCTGACTCTATACACAGTTTCAAATGTAGATATGATGGAACCCAGTAGGCTCAGGAATCTGTACACCAGTTGATTGACAGTTGAGAGGCGGGACCAAAGAGCCAAAGCTCAACCCCCGCAAGCACAACTAGGTGAGTATAACTAAGTGAGTACATCAATAATTTACCTTTTCCGTTACTTCAACTTGGAAATGACGTGAGAGGAGGGAAACCTGGCAAACCCTTTGGGGGAGAGAGAGAGAGAGAGAGAGAGAGAGAGAGAGAGAGAGAGAGAGAGAGAGAGAGAGAGAGAGAGAGAGAGAGAGAGAGAGAGAGACAGAGAGAGAGGGGAGGGAGGGAGGGAGAGGGAAAGGGAGTGTGGACTTCTGGCAAGGCTTTCCCCACCTGTTATGTCACCACATATCAACTAGGAAATTAGTTGGTTTATAATAATGAGGGCAGCAACAAATCATATATGAAAAATACTTTTGGCAGCTCCCGTATTTACTCGTTCTTCTGGGAAGACGTGGCTTCAAAGTAATATTGAAATTAATGATGAAAAAGAGAGTGAATGAAGGAGAACATTTAATGTCTGAGAGTGATGAATTAACTGGGATGTACGTTGCCAGTGGGAGTGGATGATATCAGGTGTCTAGTCTGAATATACTGCCAAGATAACCAGTCATCAACTCAGGTGTGAAGCAGGAAGTCACCCGTTCCTTGGAGGCTGACGCATGGTGAAAATCAGAGCGATTAAAGCAGAAAAGTGTTGAAGAAATGGGAGGAAGACTGAGATCATAGAGAGGAAGAGAGAGAAAGATACAGTTCACGTCAGAACAGATACAGAAAGCCAGTGGTAATATTCTACTAAGTTAAGCAGGGAGTAATATTCAAGCTAGAACAGTAAGTGCCAAATTCTAGCAAGTAATGTTAACGAAAATATTTGAGCCAGCAAAGGATAATATCCTAGCAACGAAAGCCGGGGGTAATATCCTATAGCAAGTGAGGCTAATATTGTAGAAAGCAGTCACATAATCTTCGTTTATTAACAATCTGCGCAACATTGGGAATCCTCTATTACTCTGGCATTCTGCTGGACTCTGACGACTTATTAAATATGCAAGACTGTTGCAAACGAAGCACACTTATCCATTCCTTTAAGACCCTTGAAAAAAAATACTTCTGGTTCTGGGGGACTCCCATTGGGCTTATTGTCTTTATATATATATATATATATATGCGAACAAGCCTGAATGGTCCCCAGGACTATTTGCGAATGAAAACTCACACCCCAGAAGTGACTCGAACCCATACTCCCAGAAGCAACGCAACTGGTAACTACAGGGCGCCTTAATCCGCTTGACCATCACGGCCGTCAAAAGGAAGTGATAGCCGAGGCTATTTGAGCCACTTCCCCGACGGCAACTCGGATGGTAATCTTGGGCATAGCATTTCACCAAATCACCTCATTCTTTGGGGCACACGTGAGGAACACAAATGCGAACAAGCCTGAATGGTCAAGCGGATTAAGGCGCCCTGTAGTTACCAGTTGCGTTGCTTCTGGGAGTATGGGTTCGAGTCACTTCTGGGGTGTGAGTTTTCATATATATATATATATATATATATATATATATATATATATATATATATATATATATATATATATATATATATATATATATATATATATATATAGGGAAGGGAGTACCACCTCTGGCTGGAAGAAGGGGGACCCATAGCCTCGGAGGAAACCACACAAAACGCATTGGAGGGAATGTGGGTCCCCTCCAATACAGTTTCTGTGTGCTTCTCTCCTACCACCCCCTTCCCTTTTTTTTTTTTTCCTTTATTGTGTATTTAAAGGTTACAAAACATACAAGACAAATGCCTAAAGGTTATGGATAAATATATATATAAATATAAATATATATATATATATATATATATATATATATATATATATATATATATATATATATTTGTTTAATAATTTCCTCTCTCCATTAACCACAAAACCTTTTAACTTCCCCTCTTCTCTACTTGCTTAAGCTTATTCAACTATAGGTACAATATCAGCAGACGAGGAGTCACAATAACGTGGCTGAAATATGTTGACCAAACCACACACTAGAAAGTGTCCCTTCGTCCCTTTACTTTCTAGCGTGTGGTTTGGTCAACGGTAAAATATTACATTTCTTAGTAAATACCTAGATAAAGTATGTATATAAAATGTAAAAAAATTCTGTGTTAGTATCAGTTACTTGACCTATTTCATACGCCGAGACTTCAGTCTTCTCCCTAATCTTTGCTTTCTGCCTCTTGTGGTCTACTTAATTTTATTTATTTATAAACTGCAGTAAGCTCAAAGAATATAATTAAATCCTGTATATAGCCAAAATGTGAATTTATTTTTATTTTAAATAATAAAGTTCAACTGCATTATTCCTTCAAAGTCTTCTATCAAGGACTGTTCTTTTAAATTATTAATAACAATTAAATATTACTTAATTGATTATAAGCCTGGAGAAGTAACCTACCTGAGGTTGGCGATATAATTTCTCACCTGTTTTGTTAATGGGTTTCTGTTTTATTTAGGGAAGGTAAGAATGAAGTCCTACCTTCAAGCTTGTCCCCGTATGTGTGTTAAGTGAATCCCCAGCCTGTCCTTATACGTGTGTTAAGTGAATCCCCAGCCTGTCCTTATACGTGTGTTAAGTGAATCCCCAGCCTGTCCTTATACGTGTGTTAAATGAATCCCCAGCCTGTCCTTATACGTGTGTTAAATGAATCCCCAGCCTGTCCTTATACGTGTGTTAAGTGAATCCCCAGCCTGTCCTTATACGTGTGTTAAGTGAATCCCCAGCCTGTCCTTATATGAGTATTAACTGACTCCCCAGCCTGTCCTTATATGAGTATTAACTGACTCCCCAGCCTGTCTTTATATGAGTGTTAACTGACTCCCCAGCCTGTCCTTATATGAGTGTTAACTGACTCCCCAGCCTGTCCTTATATGAGTATTAACTGACTCCCCCAGCCTGTCCTTATATGAGTGTTAACTGAATCCCCAGCCTGTCCTTATATGAGTATTAACTGACTCCCCAGCCTGTCCTTATATGAGTATTAACTGACTCCCCAGCCTATCCTTATATGAGTGTTAACTGACTCCCCAGCCTGTCCTTATATGAGTGTTAACTGACTCCCCAGCCTGTCCTTATATGAGTGTTAACTGACTCCTCAGCCTGTCCTTATATGAGTGTTAACTGACTCCCCAGCCTGTCCTTATATGAGTGTTAACTGAATCCCCAGCCTGTCCTTATATGAGTGTTAATTGAATCCCCAGCCTGTCCTTATATGAGTGTTAACTGACTCCCCAGCCTGTCCTTATATGAGTGTTAACTGAATCCCCAGCCTGTCCTTATATGAGTGTTCCACTGAATGTTAAGCGTGTGTTCTCTGTGATTAGGATAATATGTGTTTGTGTGATCCCTGTAAACGCAAAATTGACCATAGTGTGTGTTAAGAGTGTGTGTCATGCTGCCCTTGAGTGTGTCTCCAGCTTGCATTGGAGCTGAATGTGTTCGTTGTATATCTTCATATTGCCCAAGAGTGGGAGTGTCTGTGTGTGTATTCACCTAGTTGTATTCACCTAGTTATGCTTGCGGGGGTTGAGCTCTGCTCTTTCGGCCTGCCTCTCAACTGTCAATCAACTGTTACTATTTTTTTCCCCACACTACACACACACCCCAGGAAGCAACGTGTGACAGCTGACTCCCAGGTACCTATTTACTGCTAGGTAACAGGAGCATTAGGGTGAAAGAAACTTTGTCCATTATTTCTCGCCAGCGCCCGGAATCGAACCCAGGACCAATGGATCACGCGCCCAGCGTGCTGTCCGCTCAGCCACCGGCTGTGTGTGTTCGTTTTTAGCTTTCCTCTCGAGTGTGTGTGTGTGTGTGTGTGTTTGTGTGTGTGTGTGCTAGTTATGAATACCAAATTTACCCTTAAATCTGTGTTCACTATGAGACTTAGTGAACACATGAGAGGGAGTTCAGACTCAAAGTCTGAATTCATTCTTAGACTCCTTTTACCCTAGACTTCTAGAGGCCGTGTTCAACTACAGTCCGTAAGTTACTCTAGATATTGTGTTCACTGTTATCCCAGCTAATGGTTGTGTTTACTGAGCTTCCAGCTTGACCTAGTGATTGTGTTCACCGAGTCTTCAGCTTGATCTAATGATTGTGTTTACTGAATCCCCATGTGACCTAATGATTGTGTTTACTGAATCTCCATGTGACCTAATGATTGTGTTTACTGAATCCCCATGTGACCTAATGATTGTGTTTACTGAATCCCCATGTGACCTAATGATTGTGTTCTTTGAGTCTCCAGCTTGACCTGTTCACTGCAGCTTCATAACCTCCACTCTCCTTTCGCGTTTTTTTGTTGTAATTATTGATTTCACCAAATATGTGCTTTTGGAAATAAATGCAGACTTTGTGGAGTGAACTTGAAGTAATGGGGCATTCTTTCGCCTGCCATTAGTTAAGTGGCGCTCTATCGCGTGCCTTCAGTTAAGTGGCACTCTATCGCGTGCTTTCAGTTAAGTGGCAGTGCATCGCGTGGCCATAACAGAGAGCCAGGGTGGGTGCTGGAGCTGTGCCACACGGGTAGAGGGGCTCTAAGAGTGACTACTGTGCACCAGGAGTTTACTCCCTTCCATCAGTAGCGTCAGTGTTTGCCCTTATCAGCGTGACTATCTTTCAACCAACGAGGAAATGAATTGAAATTCGAGTAAAACAAAATCTAAGCAAAATGGAATGTATTTTGTTTAACGGGTCACGTACAACACACGTGTATTGTACTGTACCCAATATTCTTGTTCATACATTGTCATTGTCGTTAAAGATATTGGAAATGTGCTGAATACAATGTTAACTGGGTTAAGGTTTATAGCCTGGCATTTATGACATGTATATATATAGAACTGTATAGAAGCACTCAATGGGTAGGTGGGTATAGTTTCATTCACGAGTCCCTGGGGTAGTCCAGTAGTGCCTGGGGGGAGTCCAGTAGTGCCTGGGGGAGTCCAGTAGTGCCTGGGGGGAGTCCAGTAGTGCCTGGGGGAGTCCAGTAGTGCCTGGGTGAGTCCAGTAGTGCCTGGGTGAGTCCAGTAGTGCCTGGGGGAGTCCAGTGGTGCCTGGGGGAGTCCAGTAGTGCCTGGGGGAGTCCAGTAGTGCATGGGGGGGAGTCCAGTAGTGCCTGGGGGAGTCCAGTAGTGCCTGGGGGAGTCCAGTAATGCCTGGGGGAGTCCAGTAGTGCCTGGGGGAGTCCAGTAGTGCCTGGGGGAGTCCAGTAGTGCCTGGGTGAGTCCAGTAGTGTGGGTGTCACTGGTGTAGGTTATTAGGTTGGCTGCCGCTTTAAGACGCTCAGGTACAAGATGTTTGGCTGTGTACAAGGAAGCTTCGCGATTTACTAATGTCCTCATTTGAAGAGTCGACGACATCCTGAGGTATTGAATGCAAGTTTCGTGTCTGGTTTCGCTCATCACAAGCTGCTGAATCATGCAAGTGATGACGTAGCAGCTCGGCAAGCATCGTCTCTATGTGTTTCAATAAAGGTTTCTTTTGTCCAGACAAGGCTACCGACCCAATATTGTCCAAGACAGAGTGAAAAGGATTCATATATTTCACGAGCCAGGGATCAGAGAGGTACTTGTACACCTCCTTCACGCCTGCACGTTTCTCAGGTTTGGGCTCCAGCAGGCGTCGCAGGAGGCGAAGAAGACGAGGAGTGAAGCAGGTGAAGCGTAGCGGCACCTTGGTGGTCTTACGCTTGAGCCAGGCCACCCACGAGTTGTAGTGACGGTCAGTGATGTCGGCCGATGACCACGGATGTGACCCCGTCAGGCACAGGAAGATGAGGATGCCAAGCTGCCAGGCGTCCTGGCCGCTGTGGACGTGGTAACCCTCGTTGTACACGGCCACACTAACTTCTGGCGGCGCCCAAGGGGACCGAACCTTCAGCTTCTTCACCAGGGCTCCCGCCTCCTGTGTGCTGCCGAAGTCTCCAAGCTTGACGCGGGAGAGCTCTCGGTCGAACACCAAGATGTTTTCTAAACAAACATCGCGATGAACAAGATTCTTTCTGTGCATAAACTCCAACGCAAATGCAATTTGTTCCGCCACGCGTTTGGTCCTGGCGTCGCCCAAGCCATCTTCGCCAAGAAGTTGGGACAGATCACCGCTCGGAGCAAGTTCTTGTGCAAATACGTAGGAAGAACTGGTTTGAAACTTTTCGTCAAAGCACGTAATTATGTTAGGATGGAGACCAAGGTAGTAATTCAAACAGAATTCCTTGAAGAAGTCTTTCTTCTTGGTGGTGTCCTTGTGAAGACACTTGAGAGCGACGCAGGAGGCCCCAGGTTGAAGTCGTCTGGCGCTGAAGACCTGGACGCCGCTGCTCTCCGCCAGGAGTCTCACGTCAGAGTACTGCCGCTCCACCTCCACCCTCGGCAGCTCCGCCGTCTTCATCACCGGCTTCTCTTACGAAGAAACAATTACGTAAGCACAGTTAAATGAAAAAAAAATACTGTGACAGTATAATATTTGTCAACATAGTTTGTGTGGAGAAGGAATGTTGCGCTTATGATTATGTTTTGGTTTTTAATACAAAATAACAATGGGGTTAAAATATGTGCTTGCTGGTGGAATTAATCACTATTTCACAGTTACATTAGCTATAACATAAAGATATAGATATTGATAATGTTATACTACGTGGCATTTGTACTTTGTTTCAAATAATTAATCGCTTTTCATAAGAATGAGTTGATTCGAGTTAATGTCATTGTACCATGTGAATATCCTTAAATAAAGATTCACAATCACATTTTTTACTAATCAGCAAATTTTTGTATTTATTTCAATAAACATCAGTAAAGTAACTAATACATTCGTTATGTTACCTGATATTCTGTGAGGCGGTGGCGGGAACAGGTTAATGATCTGTCGTGTGTGTGGTAACGACCTGTGGCGGGGCCTTCAAGACGTCCTGGGTAGACGCCTTCAAGAGGCACAACACGGCCAGATGTCAACCACAAGAAACACTCAGATAATTCACTTGATCGACGCTCGATGCTCTAGCAGGACGGGGCTGGTGCTTGGGCTGAGGGCTGCCTGACTGCGTCTGTTCTCCTCAGCGTCAACCACCCCACTTTTATCCCAGAACCCCTCCCCCCGTGACGTCACGGGCAAGGCCAGTTTACACCTTAAGTCACACCTTTTCCCAAAACACAAACAAACACACACACACACACACACACACACACACACACACACACACACACACACACACACACACACATACATATACACAGTGGGGAGGGGGGGGGGCCTCGCGGTTGAGTGGACAGCGCTCGTTGGTCCTAGCCCTAAGGGCCCCGGTTCGATTCCCGGCCGAGGCAGAAACAAATGGGCAGAGATTTTTTTCACCCTAATGCACCTATTCACGAAGCAGTAACTATATAAGTACCAGGGATTTAGACAGCTGCTACGGAGTGCTTTCCCGGGGATGTGTGTGTGTGTGCGTGCGTGTGTTAGAGAGAAATATATGTAGTAGACATAAATAGAGGAAAAAATAGATAGGTTAGAAAGGCGGAGTCCAAGAGCTAATAGCTCGATTCTGCAGGCACAAATAGTAAATACCAAAAGTAAATACACACACCTAATCCCCTGAATTCAGAATGCCCTGAATTCATTTCATCACGGTCGCTCTGATTGCCAGAATTCGTCCCGCGCCCGAGTCAACACCGCCCCTTATAAGTATTTACTGGCAAATCAGTAACTCAGGTGTTGCTGATAGTCGCTGCTTCTCACTAACGTTACTTGTGTGTCCCCTGCCTTTGTTTACATGCTTACATGTTTACAACTCCGTGTAGTTTACATGGTGGTTGACCAGCCCGTCCCTCCTCAACTTAATAGGAGTCTAGGTCGTTGCGTGATTCAACGTTACAAATGCAACCTACTATGGAAAGTAACGGCTTACAAAATATCTACGTTTTCTATGCAGCCCAATAGATTAGGCGGGCTGCTTGGGTTCGTAGGTTTCTGGTTAGGCTAAAAAAAATTTTTTTGACGGAGTGTCAAATCAAAAGAACATGCAAACGGAAGTGAGCACAAGGGAAAAGTGTCGGTGTTCTGTGATTATAGAATGAAGGGAGGAAGAGGAGGAGGAGGAGGACAGGGGAAAGAAAGCAAATGAGAATAGGGGGAAAATTCAAAGTTAGGTAGACAGGGGTGACTAGTGCAATGGGTGAAAAAAATATATGGTGGAAAAGTGGGGAGGGGGTTTAGGTGGAGGTAGGGATTCAGGGGAAAAGTCGGAGGCGTGGCAGGGGTTCAGAGGAGATTCAGGAAGGTTACCAGGGGGTTCAGTGAGGGGGAACGGGGTTCCAGGGGAGAGGCAGGAGAGATGGCTGGGGGTTAAGGAGGGAAGGTAGGAAGGATGGAAGGGGTTCAGGGAAGATAGGAGAGGTGGCGGGGGTGGGGGTGGGGGGGATTCAGGGGGAGAAGAGGCGCTCCTGGGCGCCTGCCAGGACAGCTCCGGGTATTACTGAAGGTCACCTCGAAACGTTCTGCTAACCGGGACGGAGTCTCAGGGCACAGTCTCTCAGGGTACAGTCTCTCAGGGCACAGTCACTCAAGGCACAGTCTCTCAGGACACAGTCTCTCAGGACACAGTTTTTCAGGACATATTTTCTCAGGGCACAAAAGTGTTGCTTGTGTGTGTGTGTGTGTGTGTGTGTGTGTGTGTGTGTGTGTGTGTGTGTGTGTGTGTGTGTGTGTGTGTGTGTGTGTGTGTGTGTGTGTGTGTGTGTATGTGTGTGTGTGTGTGTGTGTGTGTGCGTGTGTGTGTGTGTGTGTGTGTGTGTGTGTGTGTGTGTGTGTGTGTGTGTGTGTCTGTATGTGTGTGTGTGTGTGTGTGTGTGTGTGTGTGTGTGTGTGTGTGTGTGTGTGTGTTGACTGTTGCCAGCAAACTACTAGTATTCAGAAACGTTGGCAGGGTTGATCAACAACTCGCCTCACCTGCTGCAGCTCCTCTGTCTTCACTTCTTCCTCCTCCTCTATCTCCTGGCATTGTTTATCATTGTAACTTGCCTCCTTGGCAAGTTCTCCTCCTAACTTAGTAATTTTTCTCTTGCAGCTCCAACTTAGTTCTGCTATTTACTCATTCTATGAGGCTTCAGCTATCCAACTATTTCTTTCATTCTCATCTGTTTCAACCTTTTGTTTATGCAAACTCTTTCTTCGCTGTATTCATTCTTTTTGTCTGTCTCTCTGGCTCTGAGTTTCAGTATTTCCTCTTTTATTTCTGGAAGCTGAAATTGAAACTGAAAACGAAACATCATTTTTATTTGTTGTTTCATCTCTATAAGAAACATTCAAGGAAAAAAAATACTCTCAAGAAAATTTGTCAAAAATCATTATCTCATGGAACACCCCCAAGAAAATCTCTCAAGATACACTCTCAAGAAAAACTAACTCTCAGTTAACTCACTTAAGATACACTCTCAAGAAAAACTAACTCTCAGTTAACTCACTTAAGATACACTCTCAAGAAAAACTAACTCTCAGTTAACTCACTTAAGATACACTCTCAAGAAAAACTAACTCTCAGTTAACTCACTTAAGATACACTCTCAAGAAAAACTAACTCTCAGTTAACTCACTTAAGATACACTCTCAAGAAAAACTAACTCTCAGTTAACTCTCTCAAGATACACTCTCAAGAAAAACTAACTCTCAGTTAACTCACTCAAGATACACTCTCAAGAAAAACTAACTCTCAGTTAACTCACTTAAGATACACTCTCAAGAAAAACTAACTCTCAGTTAACTCACTTAAGATACACTCTCAAGAAAAACTAACTCTCAGTTAACTCACTTAAGATACACTCTCAAGAAAAACTAACTCTCAGTTAACTCACTTAAGATACACTCTCAAGAAAAACTAACTCTCAGTTAACTCACTTAAGATACACTCTCAAGAAAAACTAACTCTCAGTTAACTCACTTAAGATACACTCTCAAGAAAAACTAACTCTCAGTTAACTCACTTAAGATACACTCTCAAGAAAAACTAACTCTCAGTTAACTCACTTAAGATACACTCTCAAGAAAAACTAACTCTCAGTTAACTCACTTAAGATACACTCTCAAGAAAAACTAACTCTCAGTTAACTCACTTAAGATACACTCTCAAGAAAAACTAACTCTCAGTTAACTCACTTAAGATACACTCTCAAGAGAAACTCTCAAGAATAACAATAAAAACTGTAAGGAAGCACTTTAATTAAGGAACACTCCATAAACACTATCAAGACACACACTCAGGGAACACTCAAGAGACTTTCAATTAGCGATCTCAAGAAACACAAAAATGCATTATCAAGAAACACTTTCAATCTAAAGAAAGGCTCGACAAACGTTCTTAAAAAAAATTTCAAGGAGCACTCAAGAACACTCTAAATAATAATTCAAAAAACACTCTAAAGAAACACTAAAGAATAACTCTCAAGAAACGCTAAGAAAAAGTATCTCAAACTGTCTTAAACTATCCACATTATTTTCTGAGAACACTGACCATCAATGTGGCTGCAGAAAATAGAAAATGATTATCCGAATCTCTGGTCATGATTGAGATTAGGTGCTCGCAAAGGATTCTGGGTAAGTGGAATCCAACCCGTCCCACTTACAACTGTATTCCCAGTATCGAGAGAAAGAGTATCTCAAGAGAGGACTTTAGTCACTGTCGTAAATGGCGAGCAGTCATGGAGAATTATACTTAAGTCACGCTCAACAAAGTACGGACAGGTGTTATTTCCAAGAAAGTTGAAGAAATCTTTATTTACCCTAAAATACTGATGATTGGGATGATATGATGGATGTGATGATCAACCTGTCCTCTTAAAAATAACGTCGCCTTTGGCCGTTTACCAGTATGGCCGAAAGTGGACGTAATTTGAAAATGAAAAAAAAATTAAAATAAATTTGGGATTTTTTTTTTCAACAACAGTAAGTTAAGGGTCCTCTGGTAGGTTAGGTGGGCAGGAAATTCTCATAAAGTTTCAAAACGTTATGAAAAACGTTAATTGAAAGTTTCCTGTTCTAACCTTACCGAGTAAGCCGGACGACTCAAACAGAAAACGGGACAGTACGTCACTTTTGTGAGTCGATTTCATTTCAAATTACGTCCAAATTTGGCCATAGCGCGCATACGAGTCAAAAGTGACGTTATTTTTAAGAGGACGGGTTGGATGATCACGTTCAAAAGTTTTGAAAATTGTCTTTCTTGTTCAATGAAAACAGCTAAATGATAATAACAAGCTGTATCTATGAAATCAATTAAAGAATGCAATGAAAATCGTTCTCGTATCCCGAAGGATACCTGGTTAGTCCAGGTACGACAGTTCGATCTCGTTGCATGGCCCCAATACATTCTCATTGTCCATCTTCCCTGAGACGGGTTGTGTCTACCTTCAAAACGCTTTACGTGGATAAATACTTCCTTAGCCTTTCTCTGATAATGAAATACGAATTTAAAGTAGAAGAATTGTGTATGCGATCTGTGGCAGAGCATGAAGACTGGGGGACACAGAAGCCGAGCAGGGAGACAGGTGACACAGAGCAGGTCATTCCCGACAAAACCGACTCTCCCAGAGTTCAGTAACGGGCTCACCATAGCCCGTGCTACTTGGAACTTGTTCCGAGTAGCTTCATCTATAACAGCAACGAGTTCAGTAACGATGTTGGCAACTTCCTGTGCTTTTTCATCAGGAAGTGACTTTGTTCGTTCAAACCTCGTTCGTTGAGCCCTAATTCACTGGGACCTCGTTCGTTGAGCCCTAATTCACTGGGACCTCGTTCGTTGAGCCCTAATTCACTGGGACCTTGTTCGTTGAGCCCTAATTCACTAAAACCTCGTTCGTTGAGCCCTAATTCGCCGAAACATCGTTCGTTGAGATTTCGTGCGCTAAGACCTCGTTCGTTAAGGCATCGTTCAACATCACTTTCGCCTCACCCTCACACTAACTACATCACCTTCACTTCGCCTCACATTTGCATCACATTCTGATCATCATAGTCTTACTTAATATGAAGATTTTATAATGAATCGTTTTATAGTGT